GGATCGTGAGACAGGTGAGATCGTGAGACAGGTGAGATCGTGAGACAGGTGAGATCGTGAAACAGGTGAGATCGTGAGACAAGTGGGATCGCGAGACAGGTGAGATCGTGAGACAGGATGGTAATGAGACAAGAAAGTTACATAAGTTACACAAGAGGTAATGAGCGACATGTAGTGAGTCAATGAGATAAGTGAGTCAACACTTCTACTTCTTCCACGTTTCACACCTCCTATTTATAGTTTGCGATAATTTAATATTCTTAAGATAATATAAATTACTAAGATAATTTTAATAAGAGAGCAAAATAACAGTAAATTTGCGAAAGATGTTACTTAGCAATTAGACGAAGATTCAAATTCTATGGTCTTTTCGTTTGGCTTTTAATTGATCCTCAGTTAGGTCCGACTGCTTCGTATCGATTACAGATGTGTATTCTACATTTCATTGTTTGTTTCGCCATTACACACCAAGTGGGCAAAGATCGTACTTGTGATGGAGCAATCTGTGAGTCCGCGAGATAGGATCGAAGGGCAGTTACACTACTCCCAGCCTTTCAACCCGTACGGTAAAGGAAAGAAGACCGGAGCGAGAGGCCTAGCTATTAGCTGGTACCAGACGGTAAGCCTGCCCTCTAAACATGCCCATCACACTGCTAACAATTAACGGTTTTGGAAAGAGGGAGGGTGAGATGGGAGCGGGATCGAGTAGAAGGAGATGGAGAGAAAAGAAGTAAGAGAGTGATAGAGAATTAGAAAAAGTGAGAGGGATAGCGAGGGAGGGGCAGGGAAAGGGAAAACGTGAGGAAAAGCGTGAGAGAGGGGAGGAGAGAGGGGGGAGGTGGAAATAGACTACTGCATTTTAGTTTCTGATGCTAAGGATTCTATCTACATATACGAACTATAACATATATTACTCTTCACATGACATCTGCTTCTGCTACTATAGCCGCAGGAAGAAGAGGAGATACGCAAATATCAAGTAAAGATGGAAGAGGAGCAACTGAAACAACACTTAAAGAAAGAAGCCTCAACTAGAGGCCAGCTTCACATATAACGGCCTCGACCTCATTCCCGTGTTCAAGAGAAACAAGTTGTTCCGCAGCAAAGTTCTACCAAAGAAATTCTGACCAAATTCAATTTACACATATTAAATTGACTTCCCTTAACTGAAATAACGTAAGGTAACTAAATTTAACTTACAATGGAATGTTTTAAAATGACACCACTACAAACGTATGAGTATGTTTTCAAATAAATCCAATTTAAATGCACACGTTGGAAGTTGAATTTAATAGCACCAATTTATTACGAACATTTGAACACTCACAAACAGTTACGATTACAAAGGGAGAACGAAGGTAGTCGCGTGTTTATTTACAAACAAGTTGCCACCACTATTTACAGATGAGCAAGTTTAGTAAAAACAAACATCGATCCGCATCACAAGGATATTTATCGAGAGATTTAACAACCCGGTGTAGGTATCTGTGGGAGGCAGCAAGAGCTCTGCATCAGACGTACAGTTTACGGAGTGACAGCTGTGGCCGCGGCGGCGCAGCAGGCTTCGGTGTTCTCTTGTCTCCGCCCGCCGACCGTGGCGGCGCCTGTCGCGCAGGGGCGCCACTGCAGCTGTTCTGTTTCAGCAAGGGGGCACCACTGCAGCTGTTCTGTTTGAGCAAGGAGGCACTGAAGTGCTTTGCTGGCAAGGTATCACTCTTCTTCTGTACGGGCACAAGAGAGCAGCTGTACACATACCATCACAAAAACTTAGGCTTGTCTTTTCGATTTTTCCAACTGTATTGACTATTTAATTAATAAAAAAAATTTATGTTACATAATAAATCTATCAATAATTAGAAACGATCGCATACAGACAATTAGATTAACAAACAACGCGTGAATTAACACGATAATCAATACATTCAATATAATCAATCAACAGAAGATCTATAGGCGATTCAGAAAATATTATAAATCTATACAAAAAAATAATCAAATAATAATAATCAATATTACCCATTAACAGTTTATCAATAGTTATTAATCGATACGTTTACATATAATTGATGAGTAAATCATTGGCGCCTGGCTCCTACCTTGGTCGCGATCGGATCGATAACTCCGACATGTGGAGAGGAATTGAAGATCTTGTTGAAGTTGGTTTCACGATTCATCAGCTCAAGTTCGACGGAGCGCTTGGCTCCCTGCGTGCGTGAGAGAGAGAGAGAGAGAAGGTTACATGTGAGAAAGAGAGAGGGAGAGAGGGTAGGTTACATGTGAGAAAGAGAGAGGGAGAGAGG